TATTTTTTAAATAATTAATAATAAATATTATATATATTATTCAAAATATTTATATATTTTAAATATAATTTTCTATATAATTAAACAAATATATTTTCGAATAATTAATTCTTAAAATAAATTAATTACGAAATTAATACCAAATTAATGGCTGTCGAATTGAAAAAAGTTTTTCGGAAGAAGAAGAGATCGAGCGGTAAAATTCCCCAAAAATTTTTGTCGAGGCGATTCTCTCGTACAGAATTTTTTTTCTTGACAAATAAAAATTTCCACCTCACCAACTTCCACCCCAAAAAGACTGTCGATTTCGATATATCACGAGACGCGATGCCTTAATGATGAGATCGAAGAGAGCGCAAAAGATCGGACGATCGGCCGCGCTCTCACACACACACACACACATATATACACACTCGGGGTCAAGGTGGGGTCGCGGAGTGTAAAAATAATAATCAATCGAACGACCGGTAAGTGAGAGCTCGGCAATTACGCGGTGGCGGCGGTGCCTGTGCTGCGGTTTACCCCGGCAGGGGGGAGAAAGGGGGATCGAACTTCCTTCTACCGCGCCTTTAATTCACCCTCCGTCCCTCTTCTTCGCGCGCGCGCTCGCGCTATCATAACGTAACATAACGCGAGACTCCCTCGCTTTATATTATTAAAAGTTGAAAATTCCGGTGGGAGCCGGAGCGATCTTGCGGCGAGCCTCTACAGGTCTTTATTCTTCCCATCATGGGCGTCCGCAGGATTTTTTCCAGGAGGGGCCAAATTTTTTTCCAGGAGGAATTCTTTCCTTTTTTATTTGTTCCTTCTTAATTTTTTGGTTACTTTGTTTTATTTAATTTATTAAAAGGGGAGCAAATGCTTAATTTTTGTACTGATTCCAAGGGGGGCAAATACCCCCTCTTGCCCCCCTTTGTGAACGTCCATTCTTCCCATCCTTTCTCCATCCTCCTCTGTTTCCTCTTTCCTTGAGAACTTCACATTTTTTCTCCCTGCCTCCCTCCCTCTCCATCCCAATAAATTCATACAAACGTTTATTGGTGCAGCGGCATCTCTTGTGCCCCATATTTTTTTTATTTTTGTTCTTAATTTTTTGATTATTTTGTTTTATTTTATTTGTGCAAATAAATTTCAGTGCTTATTCAAAAGGGGAGCAAATGCTTAATTTTTGTACCGATTCCAAGGGGGGCAAATGCCCCCTCTTGCCCCCCTTTGCAAACGCCCATGCTTCACAATCTGCTCCATCTTTTTCTCTCTCCTCTTTCCTTGAGAACTTCACATTTTTTTCCTTGCCGCCCCCCCTCCGATAAATTCATACAAACGTTCATCGGTGCGGCGGCATCTCTTGTGCCCCATATTTTTTTATTTTTGTTCTTTCTTAATTTTTTGATGATTTTGTTTTATTTTATTTATGCAAATAAATTTCAATGTTTATTCAAAAGGGGAGCAAATGCTTAATTTTTGTACTGATTCCAAGGGGGGCAAATGCCCCCTCTTGCCCCCCTCTGCAAACGCCCATGCTTCACAAATCTTCTCCATCTTTTTCTCTCTCCTCTTTCCTTGAGAACTTCACATTTTTTTCCTTGCCGCCCCCCCTCCGATAAATTCATACAAACGTTCATCGGTGCGGCGGCATCTCTTGTGCCCCATATTTTTTATTTTTGTTCTTTCTTAATTTTTTGATGATTTTGTTTTATTTTATTTATGCAAATAAATTTCAATGTTTATTCAAAAGGGGAGCAAATGCTTAATTTTTGTACTGATTCCAAGGGGGCAAATGCCCCCTCTTGCCCCCCTCTGCAAACGCCCATGCTTCGCAATCTTCTCCATCTTTTTCTCTCTCCTTTTTCCTTGAGAACTTCACATTTTTTTCCCTGCCGCCCCCCTCCCCTCCGATAAATTCATACAAATGTTTTTTATTGGTGCAGCGGCATTTCTTGTGCCCCATATTTTTTTATTTTTGTTCTTTCTTAATTTTTTGATGATTTTGTTTTATTTTATTTATGCAAATAAATTTCAATGTTTATTCAAAAGGGGAGCAAATGCTTAATTTTTGTACTGATTCCAAGGGGGGCAAATGCCCCCTCTTGCCCCCCTCTGCAAACGCCCATGCTTCACAAATCTTCTCCATCTTTTTCTCTCTCCTCTTTCCTTGAGAACTTCACATTTTTTTCCTTGCCGCCCCCCTCCGATAAATTCATACAAACGTTCATCGGTGCGGCGGCATCTCTTGTGCCCCGTAATATTGGCCACTCTGAGATAGCCAATCGTGTTATAGCTCTATCTCTCTTTCGCAGTTCCCATGGATAATCGTATTACTTATCTATCTCTTCTTGTACCGCCGCCTCAAGATGTCGATGGATCGAGAAACACGCGGCTATCTCTCTTCAGAGGCTTTCCGCCTCTTAACCGCGAATATCGATAAACTTCTCTCTCCTCTCGCACTCTCTCGAAAGTTTTCTCGCGGTCGGATGTGGAAATGCGCCGGCGCGAGTTTCTTCTCACACGTTTATCATCAATTCGACACGTGTGTAGCCGTGTCGTCTCGAGATTAAGGGGGATTAGAGGAGATACAAGCGAGAGATATCGGGGCGATTTTAATTAAATTAAAATTTATCGTCCATTCGCCGACTTTCATTGCCGAGATTTCACTTGGTTCGCGATGTGGCCGGCGAATATATATGTGCGTATTGTATGTATATGTAGTCCTCGGTGGCAGAGATGGGGAATTTCTCTCTCCGGCTGTCGATCCGCCTGACAATCCGATATTGTCGAAAGGTGGTAAAACTGTCCACCGAAGAGTAAAGAGATCGCATGGCGAATACGTATATAGATGTGTGCGTGTGAATTGTGAGAGTTACGCGACGCGTCCAATTGCCATTTACTCGCAGATTGATTGAAACGCGCCGACGTTGCAGCGTTACAATGTTTTTAAACGAAACAGGAGTCAGCGATAGAATTTTTCGTCAACGAAAAAGCGGAGAGAATATGGAAAAATAAAAAAAAATAAATTGGAAGGATTAAAAATAAATCGTTTGGATTAATATAAAATTATAATTCTAACTAACGATGTAAGGTGAAATTTTTTATTCTTCAAAGATTTGTTTGTAAATTCACCGAAAAATTATTGAATTCGAATAAATATCTATTTCAATTACTGCCTAATAAATCATTTATTTGAAATTAATAATATTAATTTGATGTGAAGAAATATTTATTTGATATAAGAAAATCCTTTTCAAAACATTAATATTTATTTGTTTCAAATAAGTGATTTATTAGACAATAATTAAATAAATACTGAATTTAATATTCGTCAACGAAATAGCAGGAGAGAATATAGGAAAATTTAAAAAAATGAATTGGAATGTAAAAATAGATTGATTAATAGAAAATTATCAGATAAATTGTAATTATAATGATGGAAACTTAAACTATTTTTTTATTCTTTAAAAATACTAAATTGTAGCAATTTTGTGTTATTCTTAAAAGTCTAATATTTTATTATAAAATACATTCCATATTACGATTTTTCACGAAACGATAAGCTGTAACGTTAGCTGTAGAATTTTTCGTCAACGATAAAACAAAAGAGAATATAGTAAAACTAATAAAAATGAATTGGAAAATAAAAATAAATCGACAGAAAAATACATTAACGGATTATTAAATAAATTATATAATTTACAATGGAAGTTTAAACTATTTCTTAATTTTGTAAAAATTTACTTGTAAGTTCTAGCACTTCTGTTAATTAAGTCATTAATTAATAATAATTATGTTCCATATCATAATTGTTACACGAAACAAGAGTCAGCATTAAAATTTTTTATGAACGAAAAAGCAGAAGATATAGGAAAATTAAGAAAAAATGAATTAGAAAGAGTAAAAATAAGATTAAGAAAGATTATTAGATAAATTATAATTATAATTTACGATGAACGCTTAATATCTATTTCTTGATATATTAGATATTTACTTTAATGATATGTTTATAAATTCTATGATAATTAAGTATAATATTTATACACACACACACACACACTCACTCTTTCTCTCTTTTTTGCAATTACCTATATTGATTTAATGAATATAAATAATTCAAACACGCATATTAGAACTCTTTGCATTCCGTACTTCGATAGAATCTCGTTTACGCGCGGAATAAACTGTTCGTGGAACATCAATCTCGAGGCGGGATATTATTTTTACTCTCTCTCTGACGTTATATATTATCCTTTTATTTTACACGGTTAACGACAGCGACGACGACGATCGGTAATCCTCTTCGATCGGGAAACGATCCAGAAGAGCCGGAATGATCCGAGGGGGCGCGCGCGCGGTTTTTTTTTTCTCCCGCGATATTACGTATTATGCTAAACACGCGAAAATGGCTTTTTAAATGAAACATCTACATTTATGTAGTCAACCTGGCCGCGTTCGTCGTTCTCGGGCGTCTCCGACCCCCTTTCGCGGACGATCGAACGAGATCGGAACACGAGGGGGGCACGAGGGGGGCACCGGCGAATTAAATGCAATTTTCGTCCACCGAGGCATGCATAACAAATTGTCGAACGTCTTTATACTTAGAAACTGCGGCGACATTATGCACGGATCGCGAGGGGGACGCAGGGGGGCGCGGGGGGCCCAAGGGGGGCAGAGCTATTTCGTCGCGCGGCCGATTACAATCCGATTATTATATGCCCTGCATAATGTCCCCTTTCTCTCTCTCTCTCTCTCGTTCCCTCTTTTACGTGTAAGCACGTACTCAGCTGCGCGTAATACGATCGACGAGAGCGGTGCGAGCGGAATTTCTAAACGAATGCAATTTAAGAGGGAGCAAAATGAGGCTAAGAAACTCCCCGGCTACCGGGAGCGGAATACCGCTGCTACGCTTGATCCTTAAAATTGAAAATTAAACGTTTCGTAGCGCGCAAGTGAATTTTTAAACCCTCGGCGCATGAATCTAACCCCGTGCCTTCACGCTTTTTCTGTTTCAGGATCCGACTTCCGTGAGTATAGGTCATTAAGTTTACCAGCCAAATGCTACAAAGTAATGGGTTTCGGCCTCGAGAAGATTGCGCCCTTCATCCCCCCCCCCGTTTCCACGAGCCCCCCGGGGCCCCCGTTGGCAATTAATAATTGCGGTTCTTGCCGCAGGTTTCCTCGCATATGAGCACGAATAAGAGAGGGAGAGAAGTTTCGCGGATATCAACATGCATGTAGTTTACATTGCTAATCGCTGAAAAAGTCCCGCGATGCCTGTAGCAATAATTCGTAATAATAACTCGAGCGATGCGCCTGGCGCGAAACTTCTCTCCCCGTTCGATTATTAACGTTGTACGCCGATTTCTTCTGTTACATGCGTGGATCGACGCGTGATCTTCGTTGGACCTGATCCTCGCTGGGAATATATCCTTTACAGGGCGTGAGTATTTCATTTTATTTCTTTTGTCATTTTTTTCTGGAAAAAAAATTATCTGTTGACATATTTATCATTTTATTTGTGGTACTTGTGTCAATTATGTGTCCGCAATTTTTATGTAAGCACGTTGCATCTACGAGATCTATATACATATACAAAGTGTATAAGTGCGAAAAGTTTTAGATGATTCTTTGCCGAAAATTAAGAGGGGGGGTTTTTTATATGAACATATACTCTTAATTAGGTTTCTATTCCTTTTCTCAAATTTCAAATAAATTTAAAAAATGAAACTTGGTGTGGATATTTCCCACGAATAAAAAGGATATTTAATAATATTTTTCGTATTACACACGTGCAGGCAAAGTGGCACTTTGTGTGCGTGTTTTCTGTGCGGAAAGCGGCCGATTTCCCACGCCGCCATCTAGCGGCGACGCGGTGAGTGAATAAGCCGCATTCAAAGCCATTGCCTACGGCTATTCCCGCACCGTGCCGCCGCAAGATGGCGGCGTGCGATCGGCCACCTCGCGCACAAAGTCACTTTGCCTGCACTTGTAATACAAAATAGTATGTGTATCACGTGCGGATTCACAATTGTTCACTCGTGTGCAATTGTCAACTTTCCGCACTCGTGACCAATTGTCAACTTTCCGCACTTGATACACAATATACTATTTTATTCTCCTGTAACTTCTTTAATTTTCGACAAAGAATCATCTCCTAAAATTTTTTGCATTTATTTAGATATACAATTTTCCAAATTATTGGAGAAGTTCTCTATCTATTTTTTTCATTGGTTGTAACCAGCTGAGATCTCTCTTACTATATTCTTTTATTATCTCATCCTTTGGATGAACTGCGAAAAAATATTCTAAATGCTCCGCAGCGCAGGAGAATCTATAAATGTCATTGGTTGTCAAAAGATTGATACCGTGATTCCGGGTCCATCAACGATACTGTAACATCCCTTCGCGTCGGTCGATCATCGCGGCGGGTCAACGGGGTCGGAGGGGGGCCCGGGCCCAAAACGACGGAATGCATAACTGACGTCTCTATAGCAGTAAAACTGTGCTTCTCGGCGTCCCGACGGGGGTCCCCAGACGTCGTCGGAGACATCGAGCGCCGCGGGCGGCCATTGTCTCAGAGGGGTCCCACGACGAAGGGCTCGACCTCGGCTTGACACGCGCACGGGGGGAGGTCGTGGCAGCCCCCCCGTCGCGGCTCCTTACGAAATTAATAATCGAAATTCGAGGATATCCCTATATGCGGGGGCCAGAAGTTATTGCGCGGCGGGGAAACTCAACTGAAGGGGGGACCAAGGGGGGCGCCCCCCCTCCCCCCCGCGAATGTCGCGAATGCCCACGCGACGGAAAGGAACGCCGAGTGAGTTATAATACGACGGAAAAGAGGTTTTACGAGCGTCATTTGTCGCCGACTTGGAAGGCGACTTGTTGAAGGCAAATGCACAGGGATTTCGAGTGCGAATGAAAAACTTCATCGCATCGTTGCGAATCTTGATTTATGGGATACGAATTCTCTTAGGTGATGTCTTTCTCTCGGTGGTTTTTTTTAAATATGATATTTTTATAATATAATATTAATATATGAGATAAATTTCTAGGAATATTTTGTTCACTTCTTGCAGACTTATCACATTTTTAAAGTAAACAAGTATAATTTTGAGTTTAAATACCAAGTATACAAAATTTTGTCATTATCAAATTTTATAATTATGGTTAATAGATTAATCCCAAAAATAATTAGCAAGCGTACAAAAGAAATAAACAATTCCAAAAATAAATTAGCAACAGATGAGGCACTTTTAGCTGTAAAAATTAATTGACCTACGAAAAGCATTTACTTCAACAAGTACAAGTTAGTGAAAAATTCGAATATCATTTTTATTCGATTTATAATAAATTTAAGTGCCGTTTTGTATTTGTTGCTAACAAATTTTTCCACATAATATTTTTAAGGATTAAATCTACTAGTCACAAACTCATTTAAGGTATCAAATAATAATTATAATTTGCTCGTATATTGTTAACAACAAAGTAACTAATTTAAAGACCAACACAACGAGCACTTATCATTAAGGTGATATAAAATAAACGATTTATTCAATATGTATTACAAACATAAACGTTTCGACTGCACGCAGCCTTCTTCAGTAAAAAATTCAATTCATCAATTTACCATATCATAAAGTTAATAGTCTTTCGTTAATATGAGTCGAGAATTAAAACAAATATAATATATATCGCTGAACTTGTGCATATTAAACAACTTACGATGCGACAACATTTAAGATGTTGGAAAGATTCCGTACAATTTCTTCGTTTCTATGCGAGAAATAGTTGTTGTCAACCGCATTATAATATATGTTGTTCATCAAGGAAAGTCACGTATGACAAGACCTCTCATTTCCAACTGTCATTTAAGGTAGTTTAGCTAAATTGGCGATGATTTAAAAAAATGAAAAAATTTTTTTATACAGATCTGACTGTGCCCTCTTTATTAAGGGATTCTCGAAACTTATAACTATCGATGATTTTCCACGAAATTATAAATTATTCTAAACTGAGAGCTATCATTTGCCCCGAATACCAGATTTCCCTGCGTTTCGGCTCCTTCGTCCTTAGATATATACCGCGAGCGTGCGGGTGCAATTAAAAGCGTGCAGCGGGGACATTTATGTTGGCACTAACTGCCCGTTAAGACGGGGAACCACCTAACCGTGGAAGGTGTAATTGGCCGACATGCTGAACCTGCAGCTCGTAAAAGCGCAGCGGGCGTTCCGTCCATAGTTTTTCCGGCATCACGTTTTTCGACAAATCGCGTTCCTTCTCGACTCGACACCTTGTATAATGAGTCCTTTTTTCCATTTTTTGCTTTCACGATCGAATCGAGCATCGTGTACCGAGTAAAAAATCGGGTTTGCGCGCGAGAGCATTTTCATTTTGAGATAATTAAAAAGTAACTGTTTCCCTCTGCGTTAATTATACCGGGCCGGGAAATGGAAAACCTAATCGTCAACAAATTTACAAGTATATATACACCGGAACCCGTTGGTCGGAACCGATTCTCTTAACGTTCTCATCAAACGCATAATAGGCTTGCGCGGTCAGATAAGGATTACCCTGGAGGTAAGAAACGTCTCGATGTAAAGGCAGAAAAAAATGAGTTGTTATTACTGTGGTTATTAATACAGATCCTGCCGGTAGATAGCGTAATTGTGCTACAACAGTAGTCAGCAAGTATAATTTTAATTGCGATAAACCGTCATTACGGCAACTTTGTTCCGAATAGAGTTTACGGGAGCCAGCCCATCCTATGTAATGAAATAGAGAAAGAAAAATTTGTATCGAATCGATAATCATAATCGCGGAACATAAATAATACATCGTTTTGTTGTAAAATCGCGGAACGGTTTGCCGCGCGCGTGGTAAGAAAAAAGGTTGTTTATTTTACTATAAAAACGTTACGTTGACGGTTTTTATACGATCGTATGATACAGCAGCACGCCGGACGTAACAATGTTGATTAGCATAGATCTAACGTAATGATAACGTAATTGCGCTACAATGTAATCGGCTGGTCGGTCGTAATACACAATATATACCGAGTGTACCCCGGCGAGAGCGCTCTTGCATTTTATTATTAGTACGCACGCCGCTCGTTACGCTACCACTCCGTTCTTATATACTACTTATATTAAGATACGCATTCCCGAGACGATTCGTTTCTCTCCCTCTCTTTCTAGCGCTCGCGCGCGCGCGCGGCTTCGATTAAAATGCCAGACGTCGGGTAGGCAAAGAGAGAGATTTGCCGTGATACGCGATATTGTTACGCGTGTACACGTTGTAACTGTCCGGATCCGTGACGGAGTCACGCGATATGCATTATGCACGCACGTAACGTCGCGCGGCAGACGTTTCCGCCATCGGTCCCACGATGCAACTTCTCTCGCTCCTCTGTGAGAAAACGAGTCGTTGACGCGTCATCTTTAGATTTTCGCGGTACGCGGAAAAGATATCTCCTCTCCGGCCTCCTGCATTATTAATGACCCCGGGGGAAAACCCCGGGTTAAATAGCGCGAGCACAATGACGCGCGTTAATTACACAGATATACGCGTCATTATTATTTTCGACGGCATCGACGGCGCCAATTTGACGCGCGCGTTAGCGTTATCTTACGTAAACACGAAATTACTAATCGCGAGACTGTTATTCATTCGAGCGAGATAGCGCGTAATTGCGAGGCTACTGCGCATGCGCGAGAGAGGCGAAGATGCGTTGCTTATTTCCGCGCGTGTGACGTAACGAACGTGTATATGTAGCAGGTTCAAGATTAAAGGAATTTATAGGACTGGTGAGTTTGAAAAAAAAAAAAAAAAATGAATATAGATACCTACAAGTTTGATGGAGAATTTCGAATTTAATGCAGGTACAAAAAGATTTCGTCAACTTTGAAGTCGGGTGTTCACGTGTGAACGTTCATGAACATTTGTAAAAATTGTAAAACCTTTAATTCTTTTTTTTTCTTTAATAAAAACCGTTAATTTTGACTCTCGTCAAAAATTATCAAGTTTTATAGACGTTCGTGAACGTTCACAAACGTTTTACGCAATTGGTGCCGACTTTAGAACGTCGATTTTACACAGAGTGAACGTTCAGCTAAACATTCATGAACGTTTGTAAAGTTGTAAAACTTTCAATTCTTAATTATTTAATTTCTAAAACTTTTTTAATATTATAATTTATATACTTTTAAATTTTATTTAAAATTTTTACTCAAAAATTATCAAGTTTTATAGACGTTCGTGAACGTTCACAAACATTCACAAATGTTTTCCGCTGTTGGTGGATACTCAGTTTTAGAACGTTGATTTTACAACAGAGTGATCTACAATAAATTTAAAAGTTTGAACCGCTTTTAAGCTTGTGTTTGAACTCAAGGAACAGCTTTTGAACACTTGTTAGCTCATGAAATTGTTATTTTCACA